TATAATATAATATATATATATATACACATCATGCATAAAAATAAAAGCGGTGATAACATTAATTTATTTTCATTTAAAGGTTTCTATTTAATTGAATGCCTTTCTGTTTATATATACGTGTACTGAAGGTAAATTAAAAATATATATTGCATGTTTTTTTATACCAAACATTTTGTTACATAGTATTTAATAATTATTGTGATACATATACATAAAGTTAAACGTAAACTTTAAATGTGTGTTTGATAAATTACCTCGGGTATAAAGTAATTGTATACAAAACATCGGTTTAATAAGTGATCTAAGTATTAAGTAATTTCTCGTTACGAGTTCATTAGGGCATACAGATAGTATATAAAACTTCTCACGCAATTTGTGATTAAGTTTATTTTTTGATTCAGTGCTAATACAGTTCAGTCAAGTGATATTTAATCATTTGGCACAAATTAACATTTTTTTTTAAATCTATTTTAATTCGAATATATTACATGTGTTATAGTTATTATCTAATATGACTATTAGCGATTAAAAATTAATCAATGAGTAAAAACCAAAAAATTTATAAAACTCATACAAAAATGATAAAAACAATGAAACTTTCCGTTTAAACATTGTTATTTTGGATAATCGTAATACATATCTATAACTACAATAATTTTATAGATAAAATTTTGATCTTTTGAAAAATGTATATTCTAGAAAGTGATATTACATACATAATGTTACATACATAAGTAAATTTACATTTTGATATAAAATAAACTTATCACACATAATTTATAAATGCTTCCAAGTCATACGTGGTTTTACCAACTCCTGAACAAGGATTTAGCTACAGTGGATTTACAGTAGAACATATTCTTTAATATATGAAAATTATTATTTTAATTTATATTGTTTACATGATCGTAAACTTAATGGTATAAAATTATAAATAAAATATTTATTACAAATTATTATTCAAAATAATTACTTTTTAAACCATTTTTTTTTTTAATTTTTAGAAAATGATTTAGATTATTCGTCATTTATAGTTCGTAAAGTGTATTAATAATTTTATCTTATATTCATATATATTAAACAAATTTAATTTATCAAATTTTTTTTCACTTGAAAATGTTTGGGCTCATGTGATAGTATATATATATGACGTTTCTGATCATCCGATATTACGTCATCATTACCCCCCCTCCCCCTCCTGCTACCGGCGCTCATTCTATCGTGAAACATCTAGGTACATGTTCGGTGCACTTTTATGCATTAGAAGTGACATATTCATTGTGTGAAATTGATTTTTAACTAATAATATTCTATCAATTTATAATTATTATTAGTTTATTTCTTTAGGCGGTTGAGAAGTGTGTATGGTGTAATTGTCATTTTACAAACGTATGTTGTTTTAAAACACCAAAATCAAATAATGTATACTCTTGTTTCTAGACCACATCTTGCGCGGTATTTTTTAAAAAAAAGCTGTTTTTCGTATTATTGAATCTTTTCGATATTGCAATGATTTTACATTCAACAAATTTTCCTAATTTCGTTTATTTAATAAAGATTAAATAACCACGCCTATAAATTACAATACAGTATTAATATCGATATTATATGATATTATGAAATAAATAATTTCATTGCGAACTAATTCATTTTTCTTTTACATTATACTGTTCAATATTAATTCAATATAATCAATCTCAATTAGATTTAAACATATTTAATTATCATAAACGTATTTACATTCACAATAAAAACAAGAAAAATACCGGTTCAAAAAAATCTAGAGCAAGATATTTTGGTGCTTTTATTTTCAGTAATTGTGGAAACAAAACTAGATTTGAATAAAGGTATTGGTATGGCTTCTTGTCCTCGTTCGTAATTCCCGTACTCTTCTAATATAGAACTCACATACGCACACATACGTATGTTTTCTTTTGTACCTGGGGTTCATAATGCTGTTATTCCGCCCCTGATTGCATATTGAAACGCGTGCAGTGCACAGAATATCCACGGCAAGTGTTGTGGCGGGCGTCTGCTGCGTCAGCCGTTAAGTTGTATGTTGCATTAACATAAAATGTGAAATTTCTCTAACAATTTTTACAAATTTATTTCTGAAATTGTATTAAAAAAGTTACGTATAAAAATCCAAAAAATCTCATGAGTTCAATAAACTTCTAACGGAACTCTTCGATTTTTCGTCATATCCCATTATTTATCGCTATAGTCAGTCGTTCGTGTGTACAGAAATTAGGACGTGAAAAGGTTTGTTCAGTTCAGTTGAAATTTACAAAAATTTTAAAAGAAAATATCTACAAAAATAGACAATACATGTAACAATAGATTATAAAAAGCTAAGTAAATAAGTTATTTAGGTGTATATATTAAAAAATATTTTAGCAACATGTAGTGTTTTTCAGGGTGTAAATGCATATCTATGAAATTTTGTTGAATAATAATATGTAATAATACCAAACATGACTGGTACACAAATAATTTGACAACCTTCTAATTGTTTCCTGGAGATTGTATAAGTATTCATGAATATTTTATAAACGTAATAACTTGTAAATGTAAAACTATAATAATGACATTGGTCAGTAATTTTAAGGTAACATAAAAACTGGGTAAACTTTTGTCAATTTCCGTGTAGACATATTAATTAACATATGCACATTAGTATTATTACAAATAGTTAGAATAGTATGTATAAAATATGAATTGAGTAACTATTATTATTTTTAATATAGTAATTTTTTAAAGTACTATCATAAATACTTGTAAATTATTTTATTTGGGTCAAGTAGAATATCTACATGTTACTTTTATTAAAAATGACTCATATTTTTATTGCATGTAGTTCAAATAACAGATTGTATGTCATTTTCTTTAATATTTTGTTTACTTTGTATATTATTTACATTAATGATGAAAAAAAACTATAATCATAACTTAGGTAATTATGATAAGATAAATAAAAATTGTCATATATTTTGTTTAATAGGTTCTTTTATCAACCTAACACTGGAACATTAAAAGATGTCTAGAAAACGTGCTAGAGAAGAAACTATGTTGAATTCTACATCATATTCAAATATTCAAAATGGAGAAGACGCATCTTGTTCCAGGGAAGATTCACCTGTGTATCCTGTAAGTATTTCTTAATATAATATTTGTTACAAGTATACTTATTAAATGAAAAAAGTTATTTTAAAGCAATGTAAGATTAGTTTGGTTGTGTTTACAATTTTGTACTAATTTATGTGTAAAATATGTTTTACCTTATATCTTCAGTTTTCCTTTTCCAACTATTATATTAAAGTTCATATACATATATATATATAAATACATTTATATACAAATTATGCTGTAATAGTATGGGACTATCATTAATTATTCAAAGATAATATATTTTTTATCTCATAACCACAGAAACAAGCAAAAATTTTTAATGATAATAGAATGATGTGATGCAAGATCATAAGCATATCTAAACTGATATAATCCTGTGAATACTTGATACTTTGAATAGTGTTATTAAAATATTTCATGAGCAACTACATATGAGCATGGATTCTATATGTACTCTGTGGTAAAAAATTCGACAAGTATTTTAGTATTAAGTGTAATGCAAACTTAGTTTATTAATATAGCAGTGTTATATTTTGAAAAATTATTTATTCTAATTTCTTGAAAAAAGTTTGAAGATTTGGAAAAAAAAGAAAATAAAATTTAAAAATATTTAATAGGTATATTATTTGGCTAATAAATTCGCTTGCTTTTTGTTTTTCTTTCTTTCTTTCTTTTTTTTTTTTTTCTGTATTAAAAAATGTATTTTTGATAATATTAACAGCTAATGACGATGACTTGGGGGACCAACAGGAATTCAAGTAATGAGTCAAGTCAAATTACTCTGAAAAAATATAGTAGTGAAATTTCTGTTTACCACAAAGAACTTCCAGTGAGTCTAATTTTTTTTTTTTAAATAATTTTAATGCTAACATATTTAATGCAGTTAATGTTATATCATTTCCTTTTGGACTTAAAAATAAATATGAATATCATGTTTTTATTATATTAAAAATAAACGATTTATATAATTATGATTAAATAGGTTTTAATTGTATATTATAATCAGCTTTTTTGAAGCATATCATAATGGTATTTTTAAACAAACAGTTATTAACTTTCCTTAACTATATACATATATATTATTTCTTTTTATTATATCGTTTATATTGTATGGAATTCATTACAGTCAATTTGCAAGGAAGCTCCATTTAGTGATGATCCAGAAGCACTTGCAGAAAGGAATGCATGTGATTATAATATTCGGATTACATTAAAAATGGCAAAAAGTGGAAAAGGTTAGTTTAAATAGAAATTAATTATATATTTTTTTAAACAGTAGTAATAAATTATTATAAATAATGTTAATAATTTATGTAATAATCTAGCTCCTAGAAAAATCAGAGTCTATGCAGATGGTATTTATGATCTGTTTCATCAAGGACATGCACGACAACTTTTACAAGCAAAAAATATTTTTCCAAATGTGTATCTTATTGTAGGAGGTAAAAAAGCAAATTTCATTTTTTAAAAATATAATAAATACTTAATAGAGAATTAACAAAAGATAATATCTATTACTTTTTATGAAATACTTTTACAATTTGTAAATTTGTATTACAGTTTGTAATGATCAATTAACACATAGTAAAAAGGGACGAACAGTTATGACAGATGTTGAAAGATACGATGCAGTAAGACATTGTCGTTATGTAGATGAAGTGGTTAGAGATGCACCATGGGAACTGGATGATGAATTTCTTATAAATCATAAAGTAAAATCAACTATATATTATTACTTAAAAAAAAAAAACATTTATTGGAATTGACAACTTAATATTTAATTTTTTAGATTGATTTTGTTGCTCATGATGATATACCTTATATGACTGATGACAGCACAGATGTTTATGCAACTTTAAAAGCTAAGGGTATGTTTGTAGCTACACAAAGAACAGAAGGAGTATCAACATCAGATATAGTAGCGAGAATAGTTAAAGATTATGATATTTATGTTCGAAGAAATCTTGCGCGAGGCTACAGTGCCAAAGAGCTTAATGTTTCTTTTCTTAATGTAAGTATATACCTCATAACCACGATATATTTTAATAATTAAATTAAACAGTGATTATAAGAAGATATCTCATTGTAGGAAAAAAAATTCCGGTTACAAAATAAATTTGATGATCTGAAAGATAAAGGTAAACGTGTAATGGAAAATATTGGCGAAAAACGTATGGATATAATTAGCAAATGGGAAGAAAAATCTCGAGATTTTATTGATGCTTTCTTACTCTTATTTGGAAAAGAAGGCAGATTGGTAGGTAGTATTTATAGAAAAATTATTTTTATAATTATTTTGTATTTCTTATTAATAATACACTATAAGATATATATTATAAAAGAATAAGTGATATTTAAATTAATCAGTATACATTCACTTTTTTTAGTCTAAATTCCTAATAAAATTTGCTTCACTACTGTATTGGGATATATGTCATATATATTTAGAGATAAAAAAATATTCATATTGAATACTCTGCTTGCATAATTTTTTATTTGGAATGATTTTATATATTATCTTTTATGTAAAATTATCATATGTATACTTTTAATGTATTTATTATTTATTATTAAAAATAGAATAAAAACATAGCTTTAGAAATTAAAATTTTAATAACTTTCTTTCCAGACAACAATTTGGAATGAAAGTAAAGGCCGTTTGATGCAAGCATTATCTCCTCCTGCAAGTCCAAAAAGGGATGGCAGCCCAAATGGCAGTAATAGCAGCAATAATGATGAAGATCAGACAAGGTACATCACAGTATTCGAGTCAATTGACTAACATGCAACACCACTTCATTCTGTACTGCTTCTATATGAAAACCTTCAATACTTCACACCACCCATTTGCAGCATGTTATGTTAGTATACAATCCCACTGTTAAATACATTAGATCAGTTTTAAGCAGTAATACACCATTTAACCAAAGCTTGTTGTAAAAGATGTGTTGTATTTTCTTTCTTCTTTTCGTGTACATAATGTGTGTGTATAACTTATATAGTATTGTTATAAAAATTTTTATTTAAGTAGATTGCAAATATGAAATAAAGAAGTGTTACTCGTTTGATATTAATTCAGTGATGTAATTAATGTATATATTTTATGTTACAGTCCACCACCAAACAAGACTGGCCGTTTTGAATATTCGCAGAGTAATTATTACCTGAGTGACGACTATAGCGATGATGAAGAGGAAAATTTGCACTCTAAATGATAACCTGTTTTCAAAATCACATTCTTTATTTTGACCAAAAATATCGTGCAATTTCTTTAAGAATGTTTAGAAATATTTTTATATAGCTATATGATTTGCTGTTATGAATTATAATGTTATGCTTAATAGTCTTTTTATGGTATGGTTTCATACTATATATAATATGAAATTATTTGTTATGATGTTTTCATTCGAGCCGATCATAGATTATTATATACTAATCACATTATATATGTGCATAAACATTACATACAAAAGTCATATAGACTACTTAAGACATTCGTTCCAACTATTTTCAAAAGTTTCGTTATCGTTTAATTGTATTAATGATAAGTTCCTATGTTTTGAACAATATTATTCATCCTAAGTTTCATACTTTACTACAAGAACTTCTAATAGTCAAAAGACATATTTTTACTTAATACAAAAGTCTGTGGTTTAAATATTCAGTCATCAATTTTTAATAATTTTCAATTTATTTGTTACTAATTTTATATTACATTTTTTACAAGTTACCTCATAATTAATTATTTAAATAATATGTATTTGCAGTGAATAGGTTTGCTGCAATTTGTATTAAATCATATTTTGATTTTTTAATAGGCAATATAATTATTTTTCATTCATCGATTTCAAACATGATATTAAACGTATTTATTGCTGTTTATGAGAAGTTAGTATGTATGAAATTAATATTTATTTATATCTTAAAACTTATTATTGATAGCATGGCAGTATGAAAATATGAAAAAAATTAAAAATTTGTCAAATACTATATGAACTTAATTTGATGTACTAATAATATTAAAAAATTTGAATAGTATTGAGCAAATTCAAATATATTAATTTATAAATAATTGTTTTTGTTTAATCAAAGAGTATTTATAAAGGATGCAAATTTGTAGTTTATTTTTATTAGTAAATTATGTGTAGTAAGATTTCGATAAAATTCAATAGATAAAAGTTAATCAAAATGCATAGAGAATTTAATTTAAATAAGTATACAAAGTAGTAATCATTTTGAAGATGGTGCTTTTATTTGAATATATGCAGATATAATAACCCTGGAATGGTACAACCATTTTTATACTTTTAAACCATAATGTAGTTTTATAATATTGTATTTATGAAATATTTGAATGAAATATTTTTTTAATATATAGATAAAATATATGATAATGATATTTATTCTTATTTTTGGTATGTAGGAACCAAAATAATGTAATTTTTAATGGAAATTAGTAACTTTATTAATAGCGTATAGTTCCAGGGATAACATATATTAGATAAATTTTAGATATAAATTTGAGATTTGACATATATGAAAAATTTGTAAAGGAAAAAAAACAAATGTATATAAATTTGTATACATTGAAACGCTTCTGTTTCTTAAGATGGTACCAATGGTGTCTGAGTCGAAACTTTTTATTTAAATATATAGAAAGTACTTAGTATATTTCCTTAAAGCATGTCGGAAAATTTTTAAAGTATGTTAATGTTTGCTTCCCAATGTAACTGGTGCATAAATTAGTAACATGTAATAATATATGATAAAGTATAATACTTTCGATATCTTTTTTAATATATACATCCAACAATGATTAGATACGCACAGTTTTACGACGAAATAAATTTATGTAATTTTGACAATTCTGTAAAAAATTATATTTTAGGTTTTTAAAATGAAAAATTGATATCTACGTTATCAAGAAATTATTGTATCTAATGACTTAAATACAAACACAAAATGTAGTAATGTTTCATATTATTTATGTAAAATGAAAAGTAAAAATTGTTCAATAAAATTATACAAGTTGTATAGTTTACAGATTTATATGTTTTTAGTAATTGTATTTTTCGTTTTTATAAATATGAATGACTGCTTATGCTTTAATTTGTGAAAGGATTACGACGTTAACTATACATATATGTATATATATTTATAATGTAGCGTATTTATATTTAAAATAGTAAAAAAAAATTAATAAAATTAATATTTCTAATTTATATTCAATTATATGTAATACCGTATAGAATTTAAATTTAAATTATAATGTAAACCATAACTATATTTAATCGTTGATCATATTTCAAAAATTCAAATTGTACGCTTGAAGAATATTAGCATTGATTTGCCAATGCTACCACCCATTTGAATGGAAATCTAATAATGCAGGTTATTTGAAGTATTTAATTTTGTAACATTTCCTTTATTCATTATTAATAAATTCGAATCCTCTTGTTAACATAGTAATAATACATTTTTTGATTGCATCTCATAATTTAAAGATTCAAAAATAAGAAGTAAAAAGTAATTGGTATTATGTGATACAAAATGGTATGTAGATATTAATACAAGAGATAACTTCACGTCAATACTGATGTTAACGGCGCGTGTTGTCTTTGGTAGTCGTTTATTGTTAGTTTTAAGTATTTAAAGTTGTGAAATATTCTTATACTGCTACTTTTCATCATCACATCATTTTTTATATATCTCTTTTTTTTTTATTTCATGTAAATCACGATTTATATTTCCAAAAATTTAATTACAATCTCAACTTATCAATCCCTTTGTAAGCGATAAAGCAAATTTTGCATACCAATCTGAAGTGAGTAAAATTCATCGTGTGCCCGCGTTAGAGGAAGAAAAAAAGAAGTAGAATCTCGGCAATCAGTGAGTAATAGATGTGAGTAGAAGAATATCAAAAGAAAGACAAAGATAAATACCATAATTACGGTACTATTGATAACTACATATGTGTGTGACTTCATGATACTCGTGTCGAATTTAACAGAAAAACTGTGGATCACACGTCTGTTATATTCATAATGGATTTTAAATAAATGCTGATGGTAAAAAGTGTCGTTTAGTGCCAATATCCAAATATATATACGTATACGTATACATGTATACATATACATATATATTTAAGGAATCTCATGTACTGTAGGATCTGTGAAAATAATACACCTGGGGAACCTGTTCAGAATTCGAACTTGGGTTTTGTCTATACAATTCAAGGGCGCTATATGCTGCGCCATCAAGCCCCACTGTTCTTCTTTATTTTTCCGGGTCCTTTCTCTCACTGGATTCGCCCATAGGAGGCGCTCCCAATGATCAGTACGAAGAAGAGCGTACAAGAAGAACGATGTTGTAACTAACGGCCAAAATGGAAGAGCAAAGCGTTCACAGCAGTATCAGTGATATAAATAGTGAAGAGGCAGTTAGAAGTGAACGTAAGTTCTCCAACATTTTCATTTTTAGTATTGTGCTTAGCGATTGGTATACGTTGTTAATTGATGCGTACACAATAGGCACCTGTATGAACTAACCCTACCTCACTCTTTATCAAAACTCACGCGACAATGCTTATGTCTTATATCTGTCACTCATTCTGGTTCATAGATAAATTAAAATATCATATTCGTTACTTTTGTAATACATTTTTGTATTATGTTTTGAATTTTACGCGGGAGTAATGTCAGTGGTTTCTTACAAAATTGGCCTTGACTTATTCTCCAAAATTACGTCAGGAATGAACAATTTGTCAGTTCAAAATGTCTTTATGAGATTTTCTACAGTTCGTTGTATACTTGTTTTGAATTTACAGTATCTTTGATATTTATCTTCGTGTCATTTTAAGGTTAATTACATGTGTGAATAAACTGCTGTCATCTGAGATAGCATTATATACTATTCATTATTTTTCTCTTAATATTATACAATTTTATAAAATTTTATATTTTTATGATTAAGCTATTTGCTTTGTTTACTAATGTAGCATCTGTACAAGTAAATGAAATCAATTTATTAAGTTTATATTGTCAGTCAATAAGCATACTTAGTAAATAAATAAGAAATTCTATTGTTATACATTAAATATTATTTTTATTGTTTATTAATATAATTATTTGGGTTGTTTCAACCCAAACTTATTGTAAAATATCTAATTTTATTTTAGTTACTTTTATTGTTTCATAAAACTTTAATTATATTTATTGTTTTTTTTATATTTGTAATACATTTGCATTTTTAGTAATGAGACAATAATTATACAAATTTTTCAAAGTGAAGTAAAAGTTATTTTTCCAAATATTTGTTTTTTAAAAATATATTAGTAAATATATCAACAATTTTTAGATACTTCTATTCATATCTGTGTATTTTGTGTTGAATTAGTCATTATTTATATACTATTATTTATGGGTACTTAAAATATGATAGCCAGACTTCAGGGGGTTGCCTGGTATCTATTATGTGAAATGAGATTAGACATGGGACAATAGGTGTTTATTGTACCCTTTGTTCATGGATGTAAAAGGATTATATTTACTGCCAATTCTGTGCATTATTGCATTTATGAATCATCAACCAAAATTAAATCATTCATAGCTATGATTATTGTTTGAATTGCAAATATTTTGAAAATTTATACTAGTGAAATTATTGTGAAGGTACTAAAAATGTAATAACTAACAATATTTTTATAAATTGAATTAAAAAAGAAAGT